CATTTCCCACCGATTCTGCTGTGCCTTTTCATAGTCCACCGCGATTTGACCTTCCGACAGCTTTGCTACACTGGCATTGGACAAAGAACAGACAGCATGTAGATGAAGGTGCCTGCCCCCCAGACAACGCGCGCTCTGGACGCTCAGCTCGTGTGTCGACTGGAAGAAATTCTGGGCAGAATCTCGGACGAGGTCGGACGCCCAGGCTTCTCCCCACTTGCACAGGGATATGAATTCATCCTGGTTGAGGTTCAGGAAGCAGTCGCCTCCAGTGAAAAGAAGTGCCAGGCAGGAGATGCCTTATTGTGGGGACTGCATGCTGGGGCTTACCTGCGATGAAGCGATCATGAAAGTCTGTTCCGTGCACAGATGCTCCGACAGTGCAAAATTTGAAGCTTTGGAGAGGCGCTTCCACAGGATGTGTTAATATATACATATATAGAATATAGATATATACATATACAGTTTACATATGTACATATATATATATATGTGTATCTATATATATATATATGTATGCCTCAATACTCAGTAATGGTTGTATAAGGCACCCCAAAAGCCCATTTTTAAGTATTCAGGCCCCTAAATCATGTCCCGGTGCATTGCACATTGCAACGAATCCGTGGGTCCAGGGCTGGAGCCGCGAAGTCCTCTACGAGCTTGAGGCTTTAGGGTTGAGGGTCTAGGCTTCAAAGTGGGGGCCGAATTCCGGGGGATTGATGACTGATCAGTCTTTGTTGCATGTGTGTTTGTTGCTTGTGCGCTATAGCCTATGGCATTTACCTATCTATTCGTAGGGCATGCCTTTTTGTAATCATGAATATGTCTCCGTGCGCCCATTCTTGTACGGCGATGATGACTTGGATGACCGACGACGGCGATCATTATGACGATGTTGCTGCTTGCTGGTGTGTACAGCGATGGCGAAGACCACACTAAGGAAACATAAGATCGCCAGAATGCTGATGCTTCTGACGCTGAATATGATGAGGACTCTCGTGATGACGATGACATTGACGCCGGCGGTGGTGGCGACGAACATGTGGCGGGTGTGGATAGGTGACATTGATGGTCTGCTCGCCGTGGTGTTTCGCGATGGTGCGGTGTTGTTTGGTTGTGTTCACAGTGCCACTGCTTGTGGAGCTCATGATGTGCTGAAGTTAGTAGTTTTGGTGTTGTTGTTACTTTCATTGCTGCTGTTGTTGTTGTTGTGGTTGTTGTTGGCAGTGCCGGCGGTGGTGGTGGTGTTGGTGATGTTGGGGTTGCTTGTGTTGAAGACGGCAAGGACGTCGATGAAGATCACGAAGACGAGCATGATGATGGGATGACAAAGATGGCGTTGGCAATGCTGATTGCGATGTTGTTGCCGTTGTGGCTACCGGGGACGGCGATCAATCTCAAACAGGGTTTTGATGATAACAATGACGCTATTGATCTTGCTGCTGTCCCAGAGTCGTTACAAGCCTATTCTCAAGGATGTTGCGGCTCTCCATACAGCCTTCAGGATCGGTGAGCCTTCATCAAGTCCTTCAGCCGTTAGTGCTCCTGCAGCTATATCGGACGTGGATTCGCAAGCCTGCATCTGAAACTCAGCTAAGGCCACATCGGAATTAGCTAATCAGCCGTGATTATATCCCTTTGGGCTCATTGACATCGTTTTTCTCTAGAAACAAGAAAACCTGCGTCGAATCATTCAGGCTTCCACAGTCTGCTGCTCGCAGGCGATGCGCAGCGCGCATGAGGATTTGGCGAATCGGCTGGACAGCGTGTCTCAGGAGACTGAGATCTGCCTCTTTCAGACATTGTCAGAACAAGGTTCCTTCAAATGGTTACCAGGGTTTCTCAACTGTTCCTATAAGTGCTTAGTATAGAGCCTTAATATGTTGGAGTAGGGTTTTGTGGCGCATATTATGACATAGCTCTATTTGATAACTATGAGGGGGTATGGGCTTGTATGGTTAATTGTTCAGACCTCCATTTTCTGACGGTCGGTATCCAGGGGTAACTTTGAACTTGTCATCTTACGGACCACAAGACTCGTTGAGTGCAGTGGGTGGAGGTCCAGAGATCCGACCCAAGACGCTGTCGGGTTTAGGCCCTGGGATTTTGAGTTTAGGGTTTAGGGCGTCGGAATGCTTACCGAGACTAATCCTTCGGGTTCCTGTAATGCCCCAAAACCCTGTTCCGATTATTCAGGCCCCGACAGTATGTTAGGGAGTTACTTCTGCTTCTTGTTCTACGCTCATTCACTACTACATTAATATACCATCACTTGTTGACCCTTTAACTTTTCAGTACTATGTCGGCTGCTGCTGAAGCACTATTGCAAAAGAGAGTCAACACCGACTCCGCTAGTGCAGTGCTACTACTGTGTTTTCAGCGAGCAATACAAACACGGCTGCCAGTTGTTTACTACTACAGTACCCCATTACCGGGTCGACCTGGTACCGTTGCGCAAGTTCGGCAGGATGTCATCGTGTCAGAAGCCGCTGCACCCCTGGAGGACAGCACAGGGAGCCTCTCTTTGTCTCGGAACTTTCCTTTTTGGGAGTCTGAATCCTGCATCAAGACTAGTTGGGGTTTGAGGTAGCATGTTCAGGGTCTAGGGTTGGGCATCTTGTGTGTCCTGCAAGGGACGACTGGAACAATTGGAGTCCCGTCAAGCTCAACAGCCACCGGTCATCCTCTGCCTACGCGCATCTTATAAGACTACGTGTTTCGCAGTGTGCCCACTTATCGCCTGCGTAGCCCAACCTTGCAATCAGTCTTCTTAGGCGCCTCAGGAGGCAGCAGGCAGCTAGAGGTCACTCCAAGCATCCATGCCCTGGCTCCTTTCTCACCTCGGATAGATGTCAACAGATAGCTGCCGTAGGCTGATGGGGAGGATGAGACTCCGGACGAGACTCTGCAGAGGCCTTGCGTGCGGTTATATGTGGACAGAAGCTTCACCAATGACCGCCGTACGCCAACTTCCCAAGCCGTACTTCGGGCCTCAGGTGACTGTATGATTTTGAGATGTTGTCAAGGACATTGTTGTGGGATAGTCTTGGCGTGCTCTACATCGCGAAGTCTCATGTGTCATCGCATTCCGGCATAGGATGCTCCTGTGCCATTTGTCAACTTGTGCAGTCTCCGTTAGTAAAGCATAAACCCCCAGCCCTAAACCCTAAATCCTAGAACTGCCAAACTTACAGGGTTCAAAGGTGTGCCGTTCCGCAGGCCGAGATGCCTTACACCTGACGACCACGAAGACATGCATAAGGCCTGGCATGGGCTTAGGGTGTAGGGTTTTAGGGATCCTGCTTGGCCTTTGAGCTATAGGCTGTTGTTTCTGGCCTCTTTTCATGTCGAGTGTGGGAAGATTTCGGAAACCCATGAATTTACAGACGTTTTAGGGTTTAGGGTATCTGCCCGTGCTCTTCTCATCAGTTCTTGTAAACGTTTTGACCTGTCCAAGGTGGATCGGAAACCAGACGGTGGCTTTACGGCTTCGTGGCAGCATGGGCACCAACCAAAATGCCTGCGACAGCAATGATGCGAATTGCAATGCATGATCTCAGAGCGGCACCAAACCCAAGAAAATGCTGCATGTTCTGCCAGCAACTTTTCTATAGTATTCATATGATTCATATATACCTCTAAACCCCGTTCTGAATATTAAGGCCCCTTTTTTTGGACCCTGAATCTTATACCGAGGGTTTAAGGTTTCTTTAGGCGCAGGACGTCGGAAGTGTGTCTCCAGCCCAGGAGTCAGAAGCTGATGACCAGCCGTTGCCACTGAGCTGCAGAGCAGATGCTGACGGAGGGGTCGGAATAAATTCAACTATCATTCCTTATGTTTCCTTAAGATTGTGACCGTGGTGAATATCCCCCCAAACCCTTTTCCAATTATTGCCAGTTGGCCATATCCAAGCTTTCATGTAGCAGTTGAATGGACCGCACCCGAAGATCACAAAACCGAAACTCGAAACGCTGAACCCCCGAAGTCCGGTAATCGCCTTCCGTGACACGCAGGGAGCAGCACCTCAACTCGCTGCACAAGGCTTTGGGCAAGGCGAGCCGGTGAGAGAGACAGAGGCAGAGAGAGAGACCGGGAGGGATGAGACCTGCCCCTTCTCCATAGCTGTAGCTCGAAGCAAGCAAGCAAGCGCGAGAGAGATAGCAAGGGCTTCGGGATCGCGGCTTAAGCCTTAGAACGTGATTGCATTTTCCTTTTTCGGGCTCCCTTAGATGGCAAACTTTGCACTTAACTGCAGAGAACATGACCGAACCAAGATCTTTGCGGGGTTCATCTCTTCCTGATTTTCTTGTCAACCTGCTTGTTTTCGCTGCCTCCCATACCTTTCTCTGCTTCGCTCTCTCCCCGCATCTGCTGCCCCTCTCCCCCTTAAGCCCTAAACCCCAAACCCAAAACCCCACTTTCCCTGTACCCTACAACTAAGACCCGGCTACCCTTTACTCAAAACCCCAAAACTAGAAACCCCATTGCCCTGGACCCTAAACCCCAAAACCCTAAACCAACTCTATAACCCTTGACCCTAAACCCCGAACCCGAAGCCGTCATACCCTTTACCCTAAACCCATAACCCTGTTACCTTTTGCCGTAAACCCTAAATTCGAAACCCTGTTCCCCCTTACCCTAAACCCTGAATTTGAAAAGATGCACCGAGGCTCGGGATGATCTACAGGTTGCCCGGGATCACCTCGAGGTCGCCCGTGACGAGTGCCGGAGAACCTAGGATCAATGTAGGTTCTTTAAAGGGCTCCTTTTCGGGGTTCCTTTTAAGTATTCCTTGAAGGGTTCCGTTTAAGGGCTCATTTTGAGGGTTCGTTGGAGGGGTTCCTTTGAAGGTTCCTGTATTAAAACGTTCTTTTGACCAGGTTCTTGGCGGTGCTTGTTAAAGAGTTTAATGTGAAATACCCAAATAATAGGGATCTATGCTAAGTCGTATGTTTCCCAAGTAGGGTAACTTAAATCCAACTCCTCAGCAAGAATCCAGGAACGGAGGACAGGGTCAGCGAAAAGGCCGAGCACCTCCGCAAGAACGACGTGGTTGAGGCCCGGGGGAGTCCGGGCACCGCGCTGCCATAGTCACAAAACCCGGAGAGGTCCCAATGTTTTGGATCCCAACATTCCCAAAGCATTGGGATCTCTCCACACTTTCGCGCTCAAAAAAGTCGAAACCCATGAAAGTGCCCCGTGTTGCGGGCTCATACCACCAAACCATTGGGGCCCTCCACACCTCTCTATAGACATGTGCTCTCTCATAGACTAGCTAACTGATGTTCAGTAAATTCTGTGACTACGACGAACTATGGCTTTACCAAAATGAGAAGAAAGCTTCAGATTGGTATTCGTTTACATTTCATGCTCACATCAACCTTAAGCAATATAATACTTTTTTATTTTCTAGCGCTGAGTTCTTCTGGTACCAAGATATTGTCACTGTTCAATTGTATCCGAGCACCAAAATGCGGAATTGCTTATCTGCAACATGTACTTAACCCGGGTGTTGTCTAGCTTGAGTGCCGCGTATCATTTGCACATAGCACTTGTTCAGCTACCCTGTAACTACTACTCCAATCATGCTTATTGGACACTAAGCCTCTATTTGGTGGAATACTCGTTTGGTGTTTGAGGAGTGATGGCTGCATGTTCGCAGGTATGTCGCTCATTGAAACTCCAATATTGGATAGGTTTTGTCTAGCGTGTAAAATTTACGTCGCGTGCCAAGCGGTGCATCACTTTACAAGGTTGAAGCTCATCTAGATAATATGTTGATGCCCCATTGATGTTCTGTTCTGTGCCGGGTTTCTTGCTAGTATACTGTATGGTATCATACTAACAAAAGAAACCTGTAAGTATTCATTTATATTCATCGAACATGAGACAACTTAAGCAATATTCCGCTTCTGCATGCCTCATTTCCTTGAGATCTAACCCAACAGCTATTTCATCGTCTAAATATTTCACTAATATGTACACAGTGAAATGTTAGTAATGTTCCAGTTATGCATACGGCATTCCATGGCTTAGTCGCTAGTGAGTGCTGTTGGCGCATTCACGTGTTTTTGTTGGTATCTCCTCGTGGCTATCACTGCAGACAAAAACAGCTAGCACTTATTTGTTACCGCGTGGTTGGTTTTCTCTCTCTTTGGTACTGCGGCACCGATTAGCTGTTCCAGTTTTAATGAATGTTACATTTCATGAACAATACCTGAATACTGCCTGCTGTGTGGCTTGAGCAGGAAGGCCGAACAAGATGAACCATTCAACAACAGATCTTAATCTAATATAGTTGGGCATGAGTTCTAACAGAAGCAATAACAGATGTATCGCCAATACTGTTTGACTGCGAAAATGCAGGGAATGGGTCAGACATGGATATTTTGCGAGCAGTACAGGGGAACATGCAAAACGGCTGTCGCCAGCGCCGGTGGTATCAACACACCAAACAGGTAGGTACGTCAGGGGTGGGGGGGGTAGCTATATGGTGCCCCCCACGTACCTATCTATCTGTCCATCTATCGATCTATCTATCTATGTATATATATATATATACATATTGATATATTTGTGTCTGTATATGCATATACACATACTAGATGCTGTTGCTGTCATTTTGGGAAGGTCCAAACCAAGCTGAAGACCCTGCTATCGAACCTCTTCGACCTGGAGAGGGATCTGGAGCTCCAGGCCTGGGTAAAGCTGTCAGTGCACCAGTGAATTGAGGATTTGTCGTGTTGGGTTTTTTGGGGGGGGTTCTGGGTTTAGGTGTTTTGGAGTTTAGGTGTTTTATGGTTTGGGGCTGTTGGGGTTTAGGGGTTCTGGGTTTAGGTGTCTTGGGGTTTTGGGTGCTAGGGTTTTTGGTTAAGGGCTCGCGCCTACTCTAGCGATCGTGCGAATTGAGGAAGAGAAGCGGGAACGTGAAGACTGCATGAAGGGGGAGATTCAGGACAGCTTCACCGAGTGCAGTCAGCAAAGCTTCGCTCGAAACTCTAGATTAGTAGTAGCCGTAGTCGCAGCTTCAAAGTTGGTTTACCAGCGTGCAGCCACGATCACCTTGACTGAGTCAATTGGAGCAGTTTGTCCCTTTCACGGTAGAAGTCTTCCCCGAACACAGCGCTTGTTGCAGCCTCTTGTCGCGGCATGTGATCGGTGCAGTTGGCTTAGCAGCTCGTCAGCTCGTGTTTGGAGGATGACTTTGCCAACATCGCGAACGTTCACAAGCCCAACGACAGCGACGACTACCAGCCTGAGCGTGAGACATTCGGACTGAATCAATCGACATGCGTCTTGCCTCTCGTTTGTTCTCCCTCAATCCTACTACAGTTGCTATCGTGTCCTGGTAGCGCGGCACTGACAGGCTTCAACTCAGGGACAGGATGGCTTCATGAAGGGGCCTACAGCCCGATTCCCTTGTCACCCCAGCACCCTTGACTCCAAGTCCTTTGCCCGAGCAACGTGCAGAAGAAAGACAGCCGACAGCCAAGGATGGACATCAATGCGAGGCCCATTCTATGCTTTGCCACCGTGCGCATCATGTGCGTGTCTTTGTTTGTTTGTCTCTGTGTGTGTGTGTGTGTTTATGTTTGTGTTTGTGTCTCTGTTTATCTGCCTGTCTGTCTGCTTGTTTGTCGGGTTCGCATGCCAGCTTACTTGATTTCTCGTTAGTTGGTTAGTTTGTATGTTTGTGTGTATGTGTGTGTGTGTTTGTGCGCTTGTGTTGTCTGTGTGTTTGTGTAAATGTTCTCATGCTACCCCGATACACACCCTGAACCCCGAACCTTAAACCCCCTAATCAGATGTCAAAGCAAAGTCAGGGAGTGGCTCTACGGCACGCTCAAGTGTGTGTGTGTGTGTGTGTGTGTTTTAGGGTTTCGAGTTTACCTGGACCCTAAACAAAAAATCCTGCAGTTTCAGTGTTGCTTCTCATGGTTGTCTTACATAAGTTCTTAACAGGGTATACGTCTTTTGGGGTTCAGGCCGGGATTTTAGTCCCTGGCCTTTGAAGTAGCAGAAGCCACAGGGAAAGTTCTGCAGTCATAGAGTTCCGAATGCTTTGGACCTGGGGTTGGCCAGGAGACCTGGGGTTTAGGGCTCCCTAAGCCCCAAAATAATAGTAACAAAAATAGTAGTAACAAAATAATGATTATAACAAAGACTAATAATTATATATTTTTTAAAGAGTTAATACCCTATAGTCTCCGAAACCCAGCCCTGCCCTTCTGTGTCCTTACAGGCTCCCGAGGTCTGGTCCTGTAGCTCGGCTGCAGTGCTTCCAGCGCTCATATTCTTGCTTGGTATACAGCATTCCCTACAGTCACAGTATGTTTCTGTGATCATACGTACACTCACACCCCATACCCTATCTTTGTAGCTCAGACACAGACATCTGAGGTAACAAGAACGATCGAGCGGGCGATGCGGGTGATTGGGTGTGGTCGAGCTGCGGTGCGAGAGACCTCGCCTTTGTTGGGCCGCACAGCTTAAAGAGACAGGCGTTGAGAAATTTGTGTAAGCAAGTTTGGGGTATGGGGCTTAGGGTTACATCCATACTGGAACATACATAGAAGAAGCCTTCCGGATAAAGCACCGGAAGCGAAACCTGTTCCAAACAGACTTGATGATAGTATCGCCTGGTATGGATTGATAGAGCAAAGTGGCAGCCTGTAACGGTTTATGACCAGAGCCTAGTGCATCCCGTTATCGTGCTCACTTCTACGACGAACGAGCCGTCCAGTGGGAGTCGGTGCTTCACACATTTTCGCTCTAAAGTTCTTTCAGGCTTGACCGTGTGACAATATCCGACTTTTGGGGTTCGGAGGTTTCAGGTTTAGCAGTTTGAGGGACCAGGGTTTAGGGTTGGCCCTTGGGGTACGCCACCTTGCCTCTTGTGTTGCCACGGCTCAGGAAGTGCAGACGCCGACGAGTCTCTGGGCTATTGATTGGAGCCTCAGAAGCAACAGATGAAGGCAAACCCTGAACCCTAAACCCCAAAACCCTAAACCCTAAGCTTCGACTCCAAGAATCTGGGTTTACAGAAGTAACGGGCTGGTCCTGCGAGTTCCGTGAAAGATGAAGCTCTCCGTCCAGTCTCATGATATGTAACGGCGTTCTTTTGTCCATCGATACCGGCTGGGAACCCATCCACAACGAAACCCAAAGACTCTGGATGCTTGGCCTGCGCAAGGTGAGGGCAACTTCGCCAAGGGATCTGACATTGAGCCAGTTTTGATACCGAGGAGTCGTGTCTCGCTGACTTTGGAGAGACTCCCATCAGTTTGTGGCCACGGCTTCTGTTCATCGCCGATCGACGTCTCAATTCGTCAGGGGTTTGGGGGCCATTGAGGGGTTAAGGCTTTAGGGTTCAGTGCTTAAGGTCTGGCGGGTCTGGTTAACTTAGGGGCTTGGATAATGACCTATACTATCTTTGGGGGTTCCTTATTGTAGCTGTAGTATAGAGGAGCCCAAAACCTTCTTCCAAATATTCAGGCCCCTACATTAGATGGGTTTGGGTCTAGCTTGCGTCTTTGTCAGATTTCACTCCCGGTCCCGACGCGCAACCAACTTGGGGACGCGCGAGCCCTCTGAGATGTACCCTCTGAAGACAATGCTTGGGGTTTAGGGTTTAGGGATGTAGATTTAGGCAATGACGTGTCAGGCAACAGAATCCGTGATGTTGTCCTTCCGTCCAAAGGATGCGGGTCAACAGCCACCGAATTTGTACAGCAGCAGTTTGCCGAACTCTTGGATTACATGCCTGTTCCTGAAGATGCCTTAAACTCTGTTGTTATACCCGAAAAGCCCGAACGCTACATCCCCCAAGCCCTGTAAGCCCTATAGAGCCTCCTGAGGGGAAATTCCGTGTCACGGCACTCCGGAGTTCGATGAAAATTGGGAAGCATCCGGAGCCACACTGAGCGAGCTCCGAGGATCCACTGTGCACCTTTTGGTACTAGAACTTCCCATGTTCATTCAAGTCTACCCATGTGGGGGGTTCCGAAATTAAGGGGTACCTGGGTCCTAATAAGGATCCGATCCTACCATTTGGGGTACTATATTAGGGTCCCCTATTTTCGGAAACCCCCATGAGGTTCCGAGCAGATGGCCTGAATTCAGCGCGAGGGGCGCGCGCATGCACTCAGTCACCATGCTGGCTTTTCACTGACGCAACTCGCACGGTCATTCCCCCTCTACAGAAACTTCGAGGGAGTCAGGGAGGAGCTCCTACCAAGTTGCATATTTTGGCCAGGTGCCCCCAGGTCTGCATCCACGATGCTTTTCTCAGGACCTCCTTCACAGCCCCAGCTCCTCAAACAGTGCCCTCGCACACACAGCAGACTGTGCTCAAGCGAAGCCTATACCACCGAATAGAAGTGTACTGCAGTGAAACGCCCACAAATCAACACACACATGCATGGTTTTTCCCGTGAGATCACAGCGGGCCGCCGAAAGTGGCACCGTGGAAGAACAAAGCTCCACATGTTTCGGCTTGAGCTCGCTGCGCTCTCGCGGCCCTCAGCTGTCGCTCGCCGGCGAAGCCACTCAGAGGAAGGTAACTCCTAGGTAGTATTAGGGAGACCCCTTAAAGGGGACCCTTCTGAACCCTACTTGTGGCTCCCCCCAAGGGTCCCCCTAATCCTAACTCCTATAGTAACCTCGAGGCTCATCTCCTTCGCGGTTTCCCTGAGATTCGCCGGGACATCTAAGATGTCGTTTTGCGCGGCGAAGCGGGCAAGTCGAGGGGCACCGTCTACGGAGACGGGGCTCTCCCAGCTTTACATGAAAGCCTTTGGTTGTGGGGAGGGCTTTGCAACCTGGGCTGCTGGAAAGTGTAACTACTTGTGCACCTGGCATCCTGATTCCCTAAACCCTAAACCCCCTTACAAACCCCCTATACACCTTAAAGTAAAAACCTTTCACCTTAAGCCCGTCGAGAGCTTTGGGCAGAGGAGCTCCATGTTCGCAAATTGTTTAGGGTTTAGGGTTATGGGGTTTAGGGTTTAGGCTTACTTTATAGGGTTTTGGGGTTTTGGGTTATTTTATAGGGTTTTGGGTTTAGGGTTTAGGTTTTTTGGGTTTTGGGGTTTCTCAGATCCTCGAAACTCGGAACCTTTGGCTACCCCCACATAAACTGAGGTAGACGCTTCAGGGAATAGGGTTCCGAGATGTTTGTGGTTCTGGGTTCGGGGAGGTTCGGGGTCAGGGCTTCGGGGTTTGCGCCATCTCATGGTTTCTGAGGAATGTAATGGTTTAGGGTTTAGGGTTCAGGGTTTAGGGTTGCAACTGCCAGTCAACTGCCGGAAGCCCACGTTTCCAAAGTGCCAGGGGTTTGATCTGCAGGATCTATCCCCCCCCCCCCCATTTTCACGGATCCTCCGGTCGTCCTACGCTCTTTTCCTTGGGCAACACCACTATGTTAATATAGGGGCCTTAATAATTAGATGAGGGTTTGGGGGGGGTCCATTATACTATATATTTACTATATTTATAATAAGGAACCCCCAAAACCCTATTCTAATTATTAAGGCCCCTACATTACACAAGTATAGTCCATACTGCCTGCCATACTGTGTACAACAAGGCTGCTGAAGATGGGCCACGCAGTGGAGTATACACCATACCTGAATCATCCTGAATCTAGAATATGCTACCTTCTGAAGGATTTACATAAGGATAGCTAGGAGCCTCAATATCTGTTGTTGTTATTTTTCGGAGGCAGGTATAATCTATGTGCCAGTAAATACACTACTCACTCCAAACCCTACCCTACTGCACTGCCAGTGTCGGACAACTGGAGGTTCTGGCCCACTCTCCCTCTCCATCTCCTCCCGAAGACAGGCGGCTTGTCCCTAGAACCCCAGTAACCTACAGGGTGACTTCATTTAGAGCGACTGCAGGGCTATGGGTACTATAAGGCGCGTGTGGGTGAGGATCTACGAGGACTTTGAGGTATTTTGGATTCGGGGAATGGTAACCCACCTTCTACGGTAGGTAACTGGGATTCTGGGGTGTGTTATGAAGACAGCGGCTCTCGCAGAGAAAAGCATATATGGCCCGGTCTATACTCGGGCGTTTCTTGGTGGCCTTGATTTTTAGCCAGTTTCGGAGGTACTTGAAGAGGAAGGCTTAGTTGGAAGAGCCCACTTGTGAACGCATTATCATGAGCCCCAACTGCCGTGGGAACACAAGTGCCCACTTGTTGAATGCACGCGTCGCTTCGAGCTGGCTCACGCGGACAAAGTTACAGTTGGCATGTCACAACAAGACATCCCAAACCACAGTTTCGAAAAAAGCATGTCCCAGACCGGAAAAACACAAACATGTAAAGGACAACTACCTGCCTGGTTCGCACTGCAGAGCCCTTAACCACTGAAGTGATGCAGTCACTGACAGCTTGCATTCTTTGACGACCGCTCTGCAGGATGCAAGTCATAGGATGCTCCACACACTAATTTCCCTAGTGCAATGACGCACTCGGAGAAGAGGCAACCAGAGCTGAGCTGAATCTTGCTTCTGGGCTTAGGGTTTAAGGTTTCAAGTTTACGGTTTAGAAGGGTTCAGGGTACAGGGACGAGCTCGTGGTCATGATATGTAGCCGAGTCTAGTTTCTGACAACATGTTCTCGTCCCGCATAACTTCAATATTCTCGACTGTTATTCGTTACATCCGCTGCAGCTCTCAACTTTACAAATGAGTGCGCCGCAGTATCATGTTCCTTGATCTCCAATCTACAACGCCCCATGCCTCACCCGAATCGTGCCTTGCATGTTCACTCGTGCATCCGTCCTAACCCTCAACCTCTCTCCCCATCCCATTCTTCTTCTTGTACTTGTACTTTATTTGTCTCCTTCTGCACTCCTTTCGGTGCTGCCGTGAGCCACCGACTTGCCAGGGCCGCTTGGTACAAGGAGGGCGCGTTAGGCCCGGGATGGAACGGTGAGATGGTATGGGAGGTTTGTGAGTATGTAATTTGGGGGGCTTAGCGGGAAGTGGCAGGTGTGTCGTCAGTTGGGCCAAGGAAGCAACTTCTGCAGAGATGATGTTCTCTGGCAGACTAGACACCGATCTCGCATGAGCATACCGAGGAGTACATGTTCGTGACGGATGTGTACATGAGACAACCGCTTTCTCACCTCTCCATTGTGAGGGTTTGGGGAACGCCACGAGATGCACCGGGCATGCAAGCATGCATGAAGACCTGTCATTTTGCCGGTGGGTGTATGCATGTGCAAAAACACATACACACGTACAGACATACATACATACATACATACATACAGGCTTTCTTACTTATGTACTTACTTACTTACTTACGTGCTTACTTACTTACTTACTTACTTACTTACTTACTTACTTGGCTACTTGCTCGCTTACTTATTTACTGACATACTTACCTACATGCATGCAGGCGCACACACACACCTACACACACATATATATATATACATATGTGTATATACACATGTATGTGTACATGTATGTGTATCTATATATATATATATTTATTTATTTATTTACACACATGTGCATGTGTGTCATCTCTGTGTGTAGATGTATGCATGCATGCATTCATGTCCGCCTGCATGTATGCATGCATGCATGTATGCATGCATGGATGTATGTATGTATGTATGCATGTAGGTATGTAGGTATGTATGTATGTATGTATGTATGTACGTGTGTATCTACCTAGCTAGCTAGCTTCCTTTCTACCTACCTATCTACCTATCTACCTATTTATCTATCTATCCATCCAGCCATCTAAGCTGTCTATCTATCTCTCTATCTCTCTATCTACCTATCTGTCTGCCTATGTATCTATTCATGTATCTATGCATCCATGGATCATCATGGATCCATCTATCGAGTCTATGTGTCTTTCTATCTATCTATCTATCTATCTGTCTATCTGTCTGTCTGTCTGTCTGTCTGTCTGTCTATCTATCCGTCTATCTATCTATGCATCCATTGATCCATCTATCTATCTATCCATCTCTCCATCTATCTATTTGTCTGTCTGTCTGTCTGTCTGTCTGTCTGTCTGTCTATCGATCTATCTATCTATCTTTCAATCTAGCATGTACCTACGTATGAACGTATGTGCGTACGTACGCACGTACGTACGTATGTACGTACGTACGTAGGTAGGTATGTATGTATACATGTATACATGTAGGTGTGTCTGTGTGTGTGTGTTTGGTTGTTCGTTTGTTCGTTTGTTTGCTTGTTCGTGTTCTTTTTACCTGCATATATTCGTACACACCGAGATACGAGCTTCTGCAACTGTATACATACTACGATTAGCTGCTTGCTCCCGTCAGCTCTCGGCACCGGCATCCTCTATGGTGCAACGAATGCAGTGGTGGGCCACCCCATGGACACGGTCAAGGCTCAATTCCAGGGGGTAAGTCCTGAAGGGTCTTGCTTTGCTGCTCCCGGAAAAGTTTAAGATTTCGAGTTCAGGGCTGTCGGCAGGGGCCTGTGGGTTTCACGGAAGCGGCGGTACGTGGTGTAGTGTTCCCGAGATTGGTTTCGGGGTTGACTTCGACGATTTGGGCAAGACTGGGCAAGATTTTCCATGTCTTGGTGTACTAATCCGAGGTCAGACTCAGCGGTCATGAAGGCAACTGACTAGTTTGCTAGATGCGGCTGTTGTGATTGAGGCCTATAGCTGCAGGAACCATACTTTTTGTTTACTATCTTGTGCGAGTCTAAGGGAGACGTCACGGCTGTATGCCACGAACTGCAAGCAACGCTTTCAGTTTCTGCGACTGGTGCAACCTTTGACTTCTGTACAAGTCAGACTCTTCTTCCAGAAGCCTTTACAGGTTTAGGGTCTAGGGTGTAAGGATTCTTGCAGGTTTGCCAAGAAATGGTGCACTCCAGTGAAAGCTTTTGACAGCATTTCTGCTACCTTCCAGCACCAGGTCGCTCAGAGCAATGATGCATTATGTCGTTGCATGCCATTTGCCCCTATAGATCCTAAATCCTATACCCGCAAACCACCCTACACCCCTAAACCCAAAACCCCAAACCCTAAACCCAAAACCCCAACCCTCAAACCTAAACCCTACACCCTAACCCAAAACCCCCAACCCTCAAACCCTGAGCCCTCAACCGGACTCGCAGCAGCCAGAGAAATCCGCCTCAGGCCAAGATGCAGGCCCAGGCCGGCCAGAGATCGCAGGGTGCGGCCTTTAGGGGTTCTGGGCTTTAGGGTTCATGAGGTTCAGGGTTTAGGGAAGAACAAGGATTTTTGGGGAGCTTGGGACCGAACCTATGAGGTTGGGTTTGTCGGGTCTTACAGATGTTGAGCCTTGATCCTTTAGTTTTTGGAGGCGAGGCAGGGGGAGAGGGGTGGGGGTGACGATGTTTTGGCTGAGGGTTGTTAGAGTAATTTCCGTTTGGGGGGCTCTTTGGCTCACCCTTCAGTTCATGCGCCTCATGCACTGGGTTTTCAAGCTTTGAGGCTTCAGTGTGTGGAACCTTCGCAGCTAATGCAGATAATCGCAAGTTTGTGGCACCCTAAGTGGAATCTTAAGCCCTGAATGAAGCCTGAGGGTGTTGTCTCTCCAAACTCCTCACCTTGTGGAGAGGAATGTTCCCCATTGCTTAAGACCGGAGTTACATCGAAACCCTTCATGCTCGCCGACAACCCATCCTACGGCCCTTGGCATTCAAGAAGACCTTCGAAGCAACAGCAACAGCCATGTCAAAAGTGATTGTCGTCGTGGTTCATCCTCGTCCTCGCCAGTATCATTATTTGTGGGTCAGGCCGGCTTCATCAAGGGCCAGGCACGGCGGCCACAAGCACGATAAACGTTCCAGAAGCGCTGAGACGTAAGCACCTATCGATATAATCTTCTGACTTCAATACCGAGAAGTTCCGAGATGTCCTCAGCCTACGATGGCCGGTAGAACCCTACAGCCAGTAGAGCCTGCCTTAAGGCTTTTCATATATGCTCCTTTAACTGGGTGTGATGTGTCTGATTGCGAAACACAGAACAACAAAGATCCATTGAAACTGACCATGCATGTGGGTTTCATCGGCCCCTTCTGTGGTAGACTGCCCGAGTTCGACGAAAGTACAGGTTGAAATGGCTCCTAAACCCTGCATTCTGAACCCCAAATCGTGTCAAACCAAAAATGAAGCATTCTGACCCTACCGGCCATGGTGAACGAAGCGCACGTTAGGAACCACTAAATCCTGAAGTCTTGAATTCAGGGCTCTAGGGCTTAAGTTTTTGGTTTTTCGGCCACGTTTATGAGCCAACATTCTGGAATTATTGTCTTTCTGTTAGTAAAGTGGCGAAACAATGTGCACCTGCTGGCAGCTGTTTTCCAAGCGTCGGTTCCGAGAGATCCACGCATGCACTTTTGTCCGGTGAGAGTGAGAGTTTAGAGGTATCCATAACATGATTTAAAGCAAGCCTTCGTACGAAATTTCTGACTTAAGGGCTTAAGGGGGGCTCGGGCCCCTGATGACGGCATCAGCCAGAAGACGTGAAACCTGGAGTAGATCTGCTACTTTCCTCGGCGACACGTTCGAAGCCTCACCATCTCGGATGCCCTTCACCGCTGTTAAGCCCAATCTTTGATCCCTCAGACCTAAACGCCACAAGAACTCGTGACTCTCCCTGAAACGACGCTAAATCTTTATATACGCTCTGAAACCCCAGACCCAAGACCATGCTGTAATCCCTTGAAGTCCTATATCTTTGTAGTGTAGGAGCCTCAATCGACTTAGTAACATTATTCTTTAGGGCTCCCTCATACAACTGTCGTAAAATAAGCCCCAACTCCCTATTCTGTGTCTGAAGGCTTCTAATCGTACCTAGAGGCCCAGGAGGCTTAGTAAGTCGGTTATAAGCAGGGCTATAATAGTTGGGCTAACTCCATTTAAGGTACCGTGTAACTCTGCTTATAACCTATTTAGTTACTAAGTCCGCTAAGTACCTTCCCTCACAGAGCCGCCCCTCGCGCCAAAGATGCCATGGCGACTACTGGAGGGATCTCTGATCGCCCGAGTGTGGTGAGTTTTGGCCTACTTTTTGTTTTGTTAAGGGTGCTTTTGAGGTTTCTATAAGGGCTTCTATAGAGAGGTTTCACGGGTTTGCGGTAATGTAATCTAGGAGCCTAGATTTAACTTGTTGCTCTTTCGGTTTCTTGGGCTTTGAGTATAAGATAGTATTATAGGCTTAACGTAGGGGCCTGAACATACTATTCCTTGGCGTTCCTTCTTCTAAATGTACTTTAGGCTGAATATCAATAATCAACACAATTCCTTAGGACTCCTTGTTACAATGTACTATAGGTTTAAGTTGTATGGGAGTCTAATGGTTACCACTACTATTCCTTAGGGTTTCTTATCCTGACACATTATGGGCGCAATACGAAATACTTATGAACACTGTTTCTTCGGGTTCCTTGACGTACTGTACTACAGGCTTCACGTATAGGATCCTAGACAAGCATCAATACTGTTCCTTAGAGCTCTTTGCTAACTCTAAATATGGGTTCCTTGTTGTAATGTAGTATAGGCGTAATACAGCAGACTAACTCGTTAGGGCTCCTTGTTCTAGTATATAATTGTAGGCTTCATACATAAGCCTAAACAATTAACCATACAATTCTTTTGGAACCTTCTTATGCTGTACTAAAGGCTTCAGGAGCCTAAATAATGATCAACACTATTCCTTGAGGATTCCCGTGTACCATAGGCTGCATATAGGCCCCGAAATAATTATGTGCACTATTCATTGGGTTCCTTATAGTAGGTCTGACCGAATAGAACCCACAACCCTATTCCAGCTATCGAGGTCCCTACATGACAACAGGATTTGGGGTCGAGTGTGGTGAGCTTTGTGGCTGACCGTACGTGACGGATATTACGTTAGTAACACAGAGCTTTGTAGTCGGATACAAGGAATGAGTACTACTGCCGTGACAGGGCTTGTCTTGTAGTCTGATCTAAGGAAGGACCACTTATTTCAGGGGGGTGTCTTCGCTCGGTGCGGCTTTGGGGCTTAAGGTGCTTTATTTCATGTTGGGTGCCTACACCCTAAACCCTGATTTCGTTGGTGTTGGGTGCTGCGAAGGGTGTAGAAGTTTAGTCAGGTTGTTCTGCTTGAGAGGTATGGGCTTTGTGTTTGTTGATGTCAATGCTAGCTAAGAGTAGGGGTTGTGCGTTTTATCCTGGGTTGATGGAGGCTTTGGCTTAGTAACTGCTTAGGGTTCATGCTGAGTTGTCACAGGCTTGTCCTTCCCGTGGTTTGCTGTTGCACTTGGGGTGTGCTTTGCGTGGTTCGGGCTGGGTCAGAGTCTGGGGTGTACGGTTTACAGCCAAAACCCTAATTTAAACCTTCAACCTACCCCCCACCGCGAGCCTCGGGGCAATACTTACGGGAAGACGTTCAGTCGTATGAGCCCCGACACTGGAAGCTGGAAGACACGTGACATCAGCCGTCAGATGACATCCCCAACCCAGCCCGGATCCTAAAGCCTATGGAGTTCAGGATTTATAAAGAAACCCCGAGCCCTAGGTAAGGCCCTCGAAGTTTGAAGCCCTAAACACCGAACCTTGAAATCCTAAACTTCTTTCTCTCCTTTGCACGAGGAAGCTGAATGTCGGCGGCCGACACTATGTGGCGGCAGCATCAACCCTTACCTCCCAGGCATCCGGATGCTTGGGAACACAGCTGTGAGTAATGTCGCTAGCAATCGTCTCCCCTGATAGTTCCCTGCTAGTTCTACTAGAAGCTTACTCCCCAAACCCTAGTTCCTCTAGTTTAATCCGCGCCTGTACTCGTCATCATGCCAACTGTTGATGCTGCCACTGAGAATAATAAAAGCCTAATGATGGTCAGAGCAACAAAGCCTTAGCAGTGCAGCAGGTAACCTTTAACCTATTGGGGGCATAGTTATAAGCCCTACAGACTCCCAGAGGTTAACCCTTCGTTCCCCCAGGTTTCTGAACACGTTAGACAAGAACGAGCCACTACAGTTGTGCTGCTGTCGACTACAGTTTACAAGACTTTTCTGCCCGGGAGCATAGTTTGGCAACTTGTTAAATCACTGAGCCGATCCAGAACCCCCAGAAATTATGTTATAGCACGCTACATACTTATCAATACTCTTCCTGAGAGTTCCTTATTTTGCACCCTACTGTAAGATGAACCAAAACCTTGTTCTAATGGTTAAAGCCTACATTAAGGGCCTTAGACACCGAACCGCATACAGCCTGACGGCCTTGGTACCCTGTTCAGGGTGGAATGCTGGCGGCCATGCTGCAAGGTGGGCGTTTCGGGTCCGGTGTTTAGGCTTTAGGGGCTAGGCCTTCGGTCTGGGCTGCTCCGGGGTTTGGTCTGCTTTCATGGGTAGGTCTCGCAATGAGGGTCCCTTTTTGGGGGATCTTTTACTGAGGACCTAAAAGGGGATCTTAATCTAGAGAACTACCCTCATGGGAAGAAGGACATCGGTGACTTGACGAAAGCTTCGGGCTCCGGCCTTTTGCCCTTTGTCTTGCGCAGTCCTCACAATAGTAGGGCTACCGAGACCCATGATGGAGGGAGGCCTTCATGCGAATCGTAGACTGCATCATGTCATGTAGCATCCTTGCACCTTTGAACACTTCCGAACTCCTGACTCAAAGCCGGGTGTTGGCTTGGAATCCCTGACTCTATATACGTGTGTATATATATATACACATATATATATATATAATAACAGAGAGAGAGAGAGAGAGAGAGAGAGAGAGGGGTCAGTTTTCCGTTTCTTCGGGAAGTCCCGGAGCCCTCGACCATGTGAAGGCCCCTTCAGCTCTTCCGAGCTTGTGGATGATGCATTTTTCATCGACCGCGACGGGGAGATGTTCCGCTCCTCGCTGGGGTTTAGGGTTTAGGGTTTTAGGGTTTAGGGTTTAGGGTGGTTGGAATACTTGGAGCGCGGTGCCTAGAACCTCGAGTTTCCAGTATGTAAGGAAGGTTTTCCGATTGAGGCCATGATCGGTTCAGGGCCTTAGGGTTGAGGGGTTTAGGGATCTCTAGCGAAACCTTGCCACTTTTTTTTCTGAGCTGGGTTTGCCCAAGAGTTTCCAATCTTGCTGATTGAATATGGATCAGTCATGAAGGACGAAGCAGGTCTCTCGAAATATATAAATTTCAGTGTTGCGACCCTCTAGTATTGTTCATGCATCCTTCTAGAAGGCGATCGGCAGAACCGGGCATGACACTTGTTTTCCTAGCCCAACCCCATTCATTAATCAAAGCTGAACACTGGGGCAACTGAGATGACCAAGCATCTTGGGCTTTCAAGATCTTTCAAGTCAGTCATCTTAAGATTAACAAAAAAGGCTCGCCCACCGACATGCCCGTCGACTCCCCAACCCAACTACCCAATTCCCTTTGTTGAACCCTGCAGACTCATAACTTGAAGACCCTTATAATATCATCCACGGGCACACCTTCAAGCCTAGTGTTCCTAGGGGTTTAGGCTCCTGAAACCCTAAGCCCTTAAGCCCGAAACCCTATGTAAACCCTATAAGCCCTGAACCCTAAACCCTAAGCCCTAAACCAGAGCTTTCAAGCCAAGGGTACATCATGGAGTATCTCCGCTGCGGCACCGTCGAAGTCCCATGGACCATGCCGAAGGGAATCCTGCGCCTTGGTGAGATGAGGTTTCGGGCCTTGGGTCGGGGTTTAGGGTTTAGGGGTTTAGGGGTTTAGGGGTTTAGGGTTTAGGGGTTTAGGGGTTAGGGGTTTAGGAGGTTTCGGGGCTTGGGGTCGGGGTTTCAGGTCCGGAGTTTCACTGCCCCCTCATGGGGCGACCTAGGCAAGCCTGGAGAGTTCTGCACATACTGATCCTACGATTAATGGTCTGCACGCAGGCTTTGAATACTACAAGAGGTAAGTGTTTCAAACATAGGACTTCTCGGCAGCATCTACTCACTTATCGCAAGCATCCTGATCATCACAGTCCTGGACTACTAGATCTCCCGAGACCGGGTGTCGGGTTTGGGTTTCTGGGTCAGGGTTTAGGGTTTACCCACAGGCTCCTAAGTAGTTCCTTTTTGGGATTACCTTATAGGATTCTAAATGTAAACCACAAAAAGGAACTACTTAGGAGCCTATCGGTAGGGTCCATCCCGAGACCCCCGACAGATCAGGAAGCAGCTCGAGCGCGAAGCGGACTTCTTTGCTCTGCCCGGCCTCGTCCACCATGTACGAGCACGTCTGGTGGAGAAGCATGTGCCTCGTGAAGAAGTTCACCTACCATACGGATCTGAATAATTACTAAGCCAATCCCGTTTATTTTAAGTCCTTAACGGAACTATGGTATAACGATGTATAATGTACCCCCCAAGCCCTATAGTCCAATTGTTATGGCGCCTCTAATAAGGACTTTTCCAAACTTGAGCCGAACGCACAGAGCAATCAGTCGGACGCCTTCTTTTTGCTGGAAAGATTGTACGCATTCCTTCGCTGGTGTACGCAATATACCGTATGCGCATGTAGATAGCTGTGAAAACTCATAAACCCTAAACCCTAAAGTGAACAAGTTGCGATATATCTCACCTGCAGGTTCCATGGACTTTCGGGATCGTCGCACTGCTGGTAGCTATGCACAATATATACATATATATATATATACACTTATACTATAGAGGCCTTCATAGCTAGAACACGGTTTTGGGGCATGTTGTACTATAACTAAATATAGTAAGGACCCCCAAAAAAATCTTATAGCCACAAGATGGTGGTCAACGTCATCACGATGATGAGGGCTGGTCATCCTGATGCCCATGACAGTGGGTTCTGAAGATGGAAAGAACACCTAAGAACAATAACGATAGTAACACAAATATGGAACGACTAAAACGTATACGAGGATATTTAGAATACATAGATAGATACATACTAGTGAGGCCACTAATCAAAAATCATAGACATAACATTAAGAACTTAAGAAATCACCATCACCTTGATTCAGAGTAACTTTTTTGGTACCTCTATAAGACCTCGGACAAAAAAACCTGAAGCAGCCCTAATCCCTAAACCCCTTCAGGTGAAGGTGAGCATCTTCGTCGGCCGGCCCCTGTGGTGCAGTTTTCGGCTTCCTTCTCTGTTTAGGATTTAATGAAGGGTGTACCCATAGGCTCCTTCCTAGTAGTAGTTCCTTTTTGGGCTTACCTTATAGGATCCTAAATATAAACCACAAAAAAGGAACTACTTTGGAGACTTTGGGTATAGAGCTGTAGGGTTTAGGGCTTTTGGGTTTAGGGGCTTGCTTTTTTTTGCAGTTTCGGGTGGCTAGGGGGTTGACGCTTCTTGAAGTTTGATTTGTCTGGTGTTGGAGGTTTGCGGTTTAGGTTTCGCAAGGTTTCGAGTTTTGAGCTTAAGGTTTCGGGTATCAGGCCTGGTTTAGAACCTGGGGTCCAAAAAAGCACCATGAAGCTGGGCGTTCAAGCGCTACACCCCGGACTCTCACGCCACCCGACATCCACAGCTTGCGGGATTTCTGGGTCCAGGTGCCTAGAATAGGCTTCGGGCTGGGGCGTAGGTAAAGTTTCCTCAATCTTGGCACCATCAAGTCCATAGAGGGCTCTGGTCAGAATGGGGCAGTGTGACGAATGTAGCTGGAAGGGAAGCACTCGCACTCCGACGTCAAACTTTTGGCCATGCATCCTAGCTGCTTGTCAAACGGCGTCGGTATTGTAAGTTGGTCGAACTTTGTATCACTGTGTTATGGAATGTCTTACAGCTCTCCATCCAGAGGTTCACACCTCAGTCTAGGCCGGATCATCGACGGTGGGGCTTTCTAGGATTCAGCATGCAGGGCCCTAAACAAGCTTGCCCTAAACCACTAAGCCCTAAACCCTTAAGCCCTAAGCCCTAAACACTTAAATCCTAAACCCTTAAACCCTAAACCCTGAACCCTAAAAACCCTCCACTCCCGAGGTTCATGTGTTCCAATGAGGGCTGCAACTGTGGCGCTGGACAGCAGCTCCGACTTGGAAACGGGTTTGGGTCTGTTTCGGGTTTAGGCATTAGGGTTTGGTGTTTAGGGATTAGGGTTTAGTGTTTAGGGATGAGGGTTTAAGGTTTAGGGTTTACGACTTCGGTCTGGGCTTCGAGCGGCTACCATCAGTCAGGCATGTGACTGAGCAAGTAGTGTAGTAGGGGTACGAACCCCTCATAGTCCTTAGCAGCCTTAGCATCGTTATAATACGTCAGTCCGTAACATGGAAAGAATGTCGCAGAATCTACCCAACGTGACTCTTGAGGCCTCTCCTGGCGGTATCAGTGCACTAATAGCGATGCCCATGGCCAACCTCATTCCCAGACTGGCAGCCGATACAAAGTCCCGAAAATCCCAAACTCTAAACCTGCACCGCCCTCGAGCCCTTCCACGTCTGGGCGGGCTCGGTCCCTGGAGTTGAGAGGTTGTGCCGTGCGCGCAATACATGTTGGGGCTCGAATCATTAGCAGTATAGTGTCCCCTGCCCCAGGTCCCTACAAAAGTATACTAGAATGTGCCCCTTGCTGTAAATGTTTCGGTTGTTGTGGTGCAACTTTCGCGGGGAGCTCTGTTTATCCAGTGAGGCTGGAGGCCACAGGCCATGACGACAATCATATGCCAGCCCACAAGGAAGGAAGTAACATGATGATCTTGGTGTATGAGTAGCGGTTTCCACCAGACACGAAATGGCAGAGTTCTGCGAGTGATACTACAAGAGCCTCTGGGGTCGTTTTGTACTAGAAACCTCTGCCTTCCATGCATACTTGCAGCATAAGTTATGTAGCAGGACGCAGGGCTTGCCTTCGCCGGCCGAAGCCTAACGAGTGGGAGATCTGTAAACTTTTTGGCCTCATACATTTGGCTTATCTCAACAAGTTTCGACTTGTTTGAGCCCGGTTCTTGAATAAGAGAGAAATCCTTTGTACATCTAAGCACTGTCAGGAAGGTGGAAATCAACGAGGTGGAAGGTCTCTCCTTCTTCGACACGGAGTTCATCCATCCTCGTCAGGAATACCTGGGTTTGGCATTTTCAAACTCCACTTTCTAGGGTATAGAACTTCCGATGTTGATTTCAGGTGCATTGGTTAAATGGCAGAGCCAAATCCCCTGCAACCTGTGCCACCACCGGTGCTGTGCAGAAGTAGCAGGGGCTTGTAATTAGCAATCTTTGGTCAGCAACCTCTTGTATTTCAGGTGGATTACGAGCTTTGTTTGTGACACCAGGTGCTGCAAAAGAACCTGGGGAGCAGCATCAGCTGCGCTTGTCGGCCATTTTACAGCACGAGCTCCATTGTTTTTCGTGTAAATATGGTATACTAGGATATGCTATACCAAAGTATGTTATACTATATGACTATATTATACTAGATCCAAGAAGATAAAAAATCTTGCAGGGAGTTGAGACTGGTCTTTGGCTGCGCTACTTCCCGTTCTCTTCTGCGCTTAAAGTCTGACAGAGCGGCGTGGAAACTTCGAGAGTTTTGATTTGGAAGAGGCATCCGAAGTGGATTTGAGACGCTGACGTTACCGAGTATCCGGCATGGCTACAGGCGCCTTGTTTTGTACATGCGCTGATGGCTCGTTGTGGTGTAGCTGCATGAGGGGTGGCTCACGTCCAGCACGTGCTTCTCTCAGTCATCTGGTGCAACCCCGTTGCTTGCTGGATTCAGTTTCCCTATAACCTATAAGGCAAGGCCGATTTGAGGTGACACGGTGCCGCGTCAAGAAAGCAGCATGCCTGAGAATTTCTATCAATTCCAAGTGATTTGCACTTTTACTTCTAGTCTTTGGTCTGTCCGTGTTAAGGTTCGACACCGAGCGGATTCCACGCTGGGTTTCCGCGTCGTATGCTCAACAACTTTGATTTCTCCGCGCAACTGCTGCCGTAATACCGCTCCAGGCGTGACACTTCTGTTTCCTTCTTTCTGTTTCCCTTTCGCGTTTCTCTCGTTTTTCTAGCAAACTATATAACATTATGGTATCTTCCCCATGGACGTAACATACCCCGTAAACAGCGATTGGCTTCTTGCAGTTAGCTTCGGGAATTACCACGATGACCCTAGAAGCCCCAAGTAGAGCTGTAGTTTATGTTGCCCCCCAAAACCCTAAACCCCAAAAGCCAAATCCTTCATGAGCAGTAGGATCAAACCCTTTGGTGGAGGAGCGAAGGCCTACGATCTCTGCCCCATCTTCCGTGCTTCAAGTGCCATGGCCCGCCTTCGGAGCTCCTCCAAATGGTAGTGTTAATATCCCGTCATAGACCCTATAATATAATTCGAGCATGCTATATACCCCAACACCCACCCTAGCCTTACTAATTATGAAGGCCCCTGCAATCGGGAGCATTGACGGGACGGAGCCTTCCAGCCCTGACATGAAGACGCAAAGCCACTTAAAACACAACCTCCAACCTTCTTTATCAAGGCCGCGGTATTATGGAAACCTTAAAGAGACCCCATAGAGAACCGGAAAAGGAACCCTATTTTTCCTACGAGCCCAGCTACCTGAAACTCCAAGCAGTCTCAATCAGAAGTTTTCCAACCTAAGGCCATGTTGAACTAACTGTCAACCTGTCTCCAGTAAGCCAGCTCCACTTGGTCGTTACATGATAAGCAGGGGAGAAGGGGGAGGGCGTGGAGGAGGCGCAGGAGGATGAGAGCGAAGGGGATAGTGGCCGTGCTCATGTCACCCTCGCCAACATCATAGTCACTGCAACAAGTTTTCATCATGATTCTGATGAACAGCACAGTATGTTCCTGGATCTTCCAGCAGCAGAGGGTCTATAGGGATCGTGCATGATTTCGTACACAGGTTGATACGGGCTTTATAGGGCTTTATATCAGTAGCAGCAGCGGCAAGGGCGGTAAGAATGTCAGTAGAAGCCAGCAGCACCGTCGCCAAAAGCAACGAACAGACAAGCAGTTTTCTGAGCACGAGCGTTCGCAGCCTGGAGGTACTCTTGTCAACAAAATCGAGATCCGCATCCTAGCACCGTCCTCCTCGAAATGCACATGTACACAGACCGTCGTAGCACCAAAGAACGACAACAAGCTGAAGCAAGGCCAAGAAGAAGACCTGGCCAAGGTTGTGCTTCAACTGCAGCCGGTTGAAGAGCCCCAGAACGAGGACCAAGGGAACATAGATGGGGGCTCCGACATCTAGTTTTGATACTTACTTTTCATAGGGGTTTGGAAAAGGTCCCTTTCGGTGGATCAGCCTCTCTGCGCGTCTGCTTGAAGTTTCGAACTTGCGAGAGTATGCACAGCCAATTGGTTGATCTGAGGAGGCACTACGAAGCATGCCCAATTATTGGCTTGATGACCCGAAGGCATCAAGGGGTTCATCCCGAAACCCCAAACCCCAAAACCCTCAACCCTAAATCGCAACCCTAAACCCTAAGCCTTCAGCTCTATTTCCGTCTTGCAAGAAGCTAAGAAGGCCCTTAAAACAAAAAACACCTTCAGCTCTACACCCCCATGACCAACAGAGTTGCCCAGCTCCGAACCCCCAGCAGGCCGAGGGTCGCGAGGGCACAGGCCCAGTTGCCTTGGAGCTCACGGAAGGATGCCTGGAGCAGGCGTAGTCCGGTAATATGGGGGGGTTTCTGAGAGTTCCTTTATAATTAGAGTATCCGATACCGATCCCGAAACACTATTTTAATTATTAATTCTCTACATTAGTCCCTTTATTATCATTATATCATATAAGATACCCCGAAACCCGATCCGTTTTTTCATGCTGGTATAGCGACCCGTGCTTCAACTAGCAAGCCATTTCAGATCGATCGAACGGTGGTCTGCCATCAGTTAGCTGTCATAGATAGTTACGGTTTCCTACACCCTGCGAATTCCCTGGCCGGTCGGATATTGGGTGCGGCAGGACCGCAGCTGCCTCTCCAAGCTAGAGCAGCAGAAGCTTTCGGCCCTAATTATACCCAAAACTCTACATCCTTAACCCAAAGCTTGCAAGCCCTACACCCAAAACTCTACATCCTTAACCCAAAACTCGTAAACCCTACACCCAAAACTCTACATCCTTAACCCAAAACTCGCAAACCCTACACCCTAAGCTCTACATCCTTAACCCAAAACTCGCAAACCCTACACCCTAAACTCTCATCCTTTACCCTAAACTTTGCAAACCCTACGCCCTACAGGCGACTGCTGCAATCCGCCACGCTCTCGTCTGCTGCGATGAGATTGGACCGTCCAGCGCGGACGAGATTGCTTCGGACGACTCCTCGCCAGTGCGAAGGGCCCTAACGGATCTGGACCCTGGGCATTGCAAGTGAGAGGCTTCTGAAATTAGGGGCCCGCCTCTGAGGATCTTTTTAGAGATCATACTGCTTCTATTGTAGGATCGGTTGGTTCCCGAAACTTCTATGCTGGTAGAGGGGCCTTTGTCACGCGGCCATAGAGACGTCATGTTATAGGCATCATGCAGACGATGTCTTGCTTCCGGGCCTGCACTACGTCTACAGTCTACATCAGTCTGTTGTCCTCGAGGTTCGTGCAATCAGCTCTTAATCCTTTCAAGAAGCATGTGAGTCGAGAAAGTCGGTACCAGATGGCTGCCAGCTTCTCGGTGGGAATCGGTGGGAACCCAGTGGCACTAGGGCGCATTTTGAGCCCGAGAGCGACAGCCTGACAGCATCCCGCAGCCCAAATGAACAACTTCAGCTATGAACCCGACATGCTAAACCCTGTGCCCTCGCTGTTCACTCTGGGACTTCCTGATGTCCTGAGGCCCAGAATTCAGACGTGTGAACCCTAAGGCCATGAGCCCTAAACTGAGGCCCTGAATTCGGAGCTCACGTTTCTCCAGTGGCTCGCCCGTGCCGATGAATACAAGGTCGGTGATCCCAACGATGCAAGGCAGGACCGTTCAAAGACCAATCGATGGCTAGTGGGTATCCCTTCTACCCTAATTTTACTAGTTACATTACGTTGTACTATTGCACATGGTACTATACTATGTCATGTATATTGTATCTTGGTCCGATATGTCATGTAATGTTAGGTTGTGTCATAATTGTGGCACTAGACTATACAATATCATGTCATATTACTAGATTGTGTTCTAGTGTGTTGTCTTGTATTTTGATTTAATACAAGTTATGATAGCATACTGAGATATTAACAACAGTTACGTATTACATTATGTCTCCTATGTTGCCACAATATACCCACTCTGTTACTAGGTGGTAATCTACACGTGCGTGCATGTACATGCAGGTACGATATGCGCATGTCTAAGTGTAGATACGTGTTTGTGTATACCTACATATACGGACATATACATACGGATGCATACACATACATACACGTGCATACACATACATACACATACATACACATACACACATACGTACGTACATACATACATACATACATACATACATACATGCATACATACATACATACATATTTATATGTACATACATACATACATAGAAAATATATATGCATATACATACACGTATACATATACATTTGCATATACATATACAGATATCATATACATACACATATACATGTACATCTACATCTACATATACACATATATATATACAGGTACATATACATATAAACATACATACATACATACATACATGCATGCATGCATGCGTGCATGCATACATACATACATACATACATACATACATACTAGGTAGACAGCGATATAGAGGTGAATAGACCAAGATGTGCATGTGCATGTGTTGCAATTGCCAACACAGACACACACAAACACACGCACACATGTATTAAACATATATATATATATACATACATACATACATACATACACACACATATATATATATATACATATGTACATATATATATATATGTGGCAACCCCCCGGAAGCCTACCTCCCAGCCTTTCTGCAGACATGTGTCTATACAAACGCACGCACACACATGGGTCAGTGTATGCAAACAATGATAAATATGCCCAAAGGGGTTGTGTATGCCGGGTCATGCCCAGTATAATTCAGTATTTCAACTGAAGCTCGGCCTTGATCAGTTATCAGAGGATAGAATACCA